GCCGGGAAACTGCAGTCTGGCAGGCGGCACGTTTCGTTTGGTTTCATTTGGCTTTGGTCTCCATACCGATGCTGATGCCAAAAATAACAACAAAAAATAGCAGCCAACAGGCAGAGCAGGCCAAGGCAGACATAGTCGTTGTCATGGCCACGAATGGTCGCCGTTTTGGGCGTCTGTTTGACCAAAAACATGCCGGCATGGAGGCAGAAGGCAGACCCAGGCGAAGGTCGCAAACTGGCAACAGAATTTCATTAGAACGGCAGACGGGCCCTGGCAAATGGAGATGAGGATGAGGCTGTGGGCCAGATGCGCTAGGCCAGAAAATGGCCATCGAAAGGGAAAGCCTGGCACTGGGTCCCATGGACTCTAGACTCTGGGTGTCCCGAAGTAATCATGTAATCGGGTCTATCATTGCTGGTTATGTAAGTGGCTAACTGCAATTAGAGTTGGCCACTGCTGCTGCTGCTGCTCCTGCTGGTGGTGGCACAATCAACTTGTCAACGCAAATTGCAGCGACAAATTAGACAGCTGTCATGGAATTTTAAGCAGGAGTAAAGTGGAATAGAGTAGGGTGGGTGCCAAAACATGGAGTCTGACATAAAGTTTAATTCCAGGGTTGATAGTTAAATGCCATTAATTGCGGTGACTTCCGGGAAAGTTTTCTGTTAAAGCTGGTTGGTTTTTTTTTTGTAACGTAACTTGATAACTTAAGGAATTTTGTTTGGTTTAAAATTATTTAGTTAATATTACCATGAAAACGGTGATAAGTGGTGATGACTTTGACTTTTTTCCGACTAATTTTTTGTTTACAAATTTTTCTGGATGGAAGTTAAATACAAAATACTGAACTGGTAATTCTATAAAGTTATTAATTAAATAAATAAAATTCAAAGGTTAACTTTGTAAAGTTTAATAACTAAAGAAAGAAATTCAGAAGAAAAAGTCTCAGAATCAAAGCTATTTGTCATACTGTTAATTTGACAATTTTGTGTATATAATAAAACTTATTTTAAACATCTGAAGGAGGCAACTTTCCCCAAGTTCAGTTTCCAATTCCTAGACAAACATCTCAAACCAAACCCTTTTCCGAAAATGCAAGTACCATCCGCTCAGCGTTCTTATTCTTCTCCTGCTGCAACTTTCTCGTTCGAGACATAGGCTACTTAACCCTACGAGCACAACTGTACCCCAAAAAGAACAAAGCCGGCTAAATGAAGGGCATAGAAAAATGAAGCAAAGTACACACGAAAAAAATTGTAGGTACGGGAGGGAAAAAAATGAAAAAAAAAATGGTGAAAAACGGAGCACAAAAATACACACATGCAAACGCTAAAAAGTTTGCACACTCAAAGACAGACGACGGCAGAGAAAGAGAAATGGGGGATAGAGGGTGTGAAAGAGAGGGCGAGAATTTTTCTTGGGAAAACGTACACTTAGAGAAATAGTTTCCCCAACGTACAAATATAAAATGTACAAAAAACAACACTGAAATATAATAAACTAAATAAGATAATAAATAGTTAACCCTGAAATCAATGAACAAACAATTTTCCTAAATATTGATTAAAAGTGTTTTAAACATTTTTAATGTTGTAAATATTTAAAGTTTAAAAAAATAGTGTGAATTTTGTTTTAAATATTACTGAATTTCAAGGTATATTATTATATTTTATAATATCCAAAGCACACAAGGGACCTTTACAACATCAAGAAATGTACTTACCCCTTGCTTTGCACTAAAATTCCCAATGGGTTCTAGCCTTAAACTGTTGTTATTCAGTGGTGGGGAAGAGATACTTCCTTTTGAAACGATTGTAAATACATTGGTCTTTATAATTTTTCATTGTCATGAATAGCTTCCAATTTGTTTATTATGTTTTTATAAATTTCCCGACTTAAAACATTTAACATTCTCAGTGTAGCATCCGTACAGCGTATAGCGTCGCGTCGGAGGTCAGGATGGGAATCTGATGGGATGCAATGTGATGTACATGGGAGCAGCGCATAGAGCATGTAGACAACTGGCAACAATAACGGCATTTTCGACGTTGACGAAAAGGACGCCCAGGAAAAGTGGGTGGTTTCGGGTGGCGTTTTGGGGGCTGCTTTCGGTGGGTGCACAGGGGCACTTCCTTGTCGACGACGAGTTGCCAACAGCCACTTGACACTTCCGTCGTCACATGAATGGAGCCGTAAAAATGCGACGCTGCCTGCATTCGTTTCATTTTCGTACTTTCAGTTGGTTTTGCTTTTTTTGCTCCTCTTTTTTTTTCCTTTTTCTTTTTTTTTGGGTTTGGCACTTTTTATATTTGGGGGTGGCGTCACGACAAAAAAAATATGAAGAAAAAAAGACTGTAGAAATGAAGTAAATACATTCATGCATAATTTTTATGGCACTTTGAGTGATAGGGGAGGAGTCCCGCCGACATGCATTTGGGATGCCAAAACGTTTTGGGAACACACACCAGACCCTCTTTCCACACACACACACACACACCCTCTGTCATCCTCGCATACATATTTCCTCTTTCACTTAAATGGGCGAATCCAATGGGAGTTGGCAACGAATCCAAGGTGGAGTTATTAACGCGGCTACAAAGTGATGATTAGTTGGGTTTTAGGGTGACTCTGCCTACTGAGTACTGAGTTTTAAGTACTCTGAGTATTCCTGCGGTTCAATGTCCGCCCAAAAGCAAATAGGCTGTTGGCACACACACTGACTTTGGGCACAAACACGTGTTGGCCAGGCTAAGCGCCAAGGTAGGTCAGGGAAGGGTATGGGAAGGCACTAAGGTCTTTGCAAACAAATAACAAAAAATGATGAGGTACAAGTACAGTGATTGTTCGACAATTGAAACTTATTCATCAAGCAGATAAATGGAAAGTCATTAAAAAAATTTAAAAAGCTGCTATTTATAATATAGAAATTTAAATAAAACTTTTCTAATTATTAACTTCTTATATTTCACACACAACCTAAAAGCTTTCTAAATATTATTTATTTTAAAGTCTCCTTAAAATCTTATATTTCAAACCTTCCCTGTACCTTTTGGTGGCGACGTGTGTGTTGATGTCTTGGCTTCTGGACTTGGATCTGGGATCCGTATCGGCTACTGGTGGGCCACTGCTCATCGTTGCATGCGGCATGGCACGCACTTGCGAGGGATCGCAGATCTCCCCTTCGGACAGAGGGCAAACAAACTCGTACATACTCCTCCCCAAAAACTCAAGACAACTCCCTGGCCTGGCCCTGAAGTAGCAGAGGAGTTTACTTCTGGTTCTTAGGCCTTCTTTTTTTTTTTTTTTTTTTGGTTATGATTGACTGAGTTCTGTTGAAACTTTGGCGTCTACTGGCACGCATGAATTACAATTTTCGAGTAACGAAAAGCCCTCTCGAAAAGAGGGCTTCACAATTAGCACATTTCTTACTTGAAGCAGAGAGAAAAATAATTGAAAATTTCAAAATCCATTTTTAAAGGGATAAAAAGGGATTATAGAGGTAAAAGAGATTATGTGAAAATAACCAATATTTTGTTAAATATTTTTAGAGAAGCTAAGAAATTTTTAAGATTTTCTTAAAATAAAAATTAAAAATAACATTCTAAAATATAATTTCTGTATGATTCTTCAAGAGGTTTCTCTCAGTTGCTGCTGCATTGGCCGCCCTGATAAGCGGCAGACCACGATTGCCTTGAGCGAGGCGCTTGAACTCCTCAGGCGATCTATCTCTTTCTCTCTCTGGGAAATCTTCCCCTCTCTCTCTATATATATATCTCTATCTCTCTCTGTTAGTCACCGTGCGGTGGCATTTTCTAGCAGCAAATAGTTTTGCGACCTAAAAGTGACAAGCCTTCCTCTTTCATTGCTCTCCTCCGCGGTTTTTTTGATAACAAAGTTTACTAACAAAAAAAAAAGGAAAATGAACGAAAAACGGTGATAAAATGAAAAAGTAAATCCCAAAAGCAAAGCCTATTTACGCACCATGTCTGTGCTGAACTGCCACCCAGTGCATTATAAGATAAACATTTGTTTTTTACTTTTTCATTTGGTAAATAGCATAAAAGCGTTGAACTCGCTTCACTTATAAGATCATGAATGCAGGAATGACGACGATTGGAGGCTCTACAAATTAAGAGCAAGTTTTAAATTATTTTCATTTATTTTTAAAATATTTTCAGTTACTTAAAGTTAATTAAATTTAAGGATATAAATATATTTAGTTGGAAAATTAAATTTGAAGACGTACTTGTACTAAGCTCTTTAGAAATTATAAGTTTCCAGGAAACAATAACAAATCTATCCACAAGACATGACAGAAAATACACTTATGTGATCTTGTAAAAATATATATTATATGGAATGCAATACAGAAATTACAAAGCTAACTGAAGTTGCTACCCTTCAAAATATCCTTCACCCTTTGATAAGACCTACAGTATACATCATCTTTTCTCTATATTTTAATCTGCCCAGAAAAAAAACCCAAACCTAAAAATATTTCAAGAATATTTCAAAAGAAAACCCATTTCCCAGTCGAAGCTATGGAACTGTAATCAATATAACCCATATATGTACCAATAAATACGCATGAAAATGCCTTTCGAAAGCTTCGATTGGTGCGCACTTCCTGCCTGATGTTGCTACCCTTTAAATCTTTTTATAAATCCCGCAAAATAAATCATCATATTTTAATCTACTCAGAAAAAAATCCAAACCTAAAAATATTTCAAGAAAATTTCAAAAGAAAAATCATTTCCCAGTCCAAGCAATGTAATCAATAACCCACAAACCAATAAATACGCATGAAAATTCCTATCGAAACCTTCGATTGGTTCGCACTTCCACGAAATCAAAATAATCAAGAGTTGACTTAAAGCTTAAAACAAAGAAGTCAATCAGTCGGTCAGTCAATCAGTCAGTTTGCCAGTCAGTCACTTCAGCAGTTCGTCATCATGAGGCTCAAGTGCTGAAAAGTTGATTGCCCCGGGCAAGCGTCTGACTTTTGCTAAGGCAAATATTGTTTAATAACATTTTTATAAATAAAATTCACTGATTAAATGGGCAGCAATGACGACGACGACAGCGACTCAGTGAACGATGGCGGTCCTACCCCAAGACGAAATTGTTTAAGTTGGTGGTAAAATCGGCCAAATCCCTTAGATCTTCAGCGATTTCTGCCTAGAGTCGTCGTGGTCTTGGTCTATTGACCGCTGCCGGAATATTCAAATCCAAGGCCGCGTCCAAACCCTGAAACATTTCCATCATCATGACCATCATTAGAATGGTTTGAAAGGCATCACGCGCCACCGACATCAGCTGTCGAATGAAGCGAGAGTTCGGGGTCCACAGTAGGTGTTCGTTGGCCAGAGCGTCCTCCAGGGAGCGATCCATGTAGCTGTAAGGATATAGGACATCTACGGCCAGGCGCCAGAACAGAACAAAAAATAGGCTGGGTCTGCGGACGGGAAAGGAAAACGCTGACTTGGTGGCCACAGAAAACATCGTCAGCCAACTTACTCCATCAAATCGTTGCTTCAGCCCCCCAAAATTAATTTCCGTTAATTTTTTTTCTCGCAATTTAGTAAAACTAAAGCGAATTCGATTGATAAGTATTCAGAAGCCGTCTTTTTTTATTTGAAAGTTTAGTTTTTACAGATTGACAAGTAAAGGAGCTGGGATTAAAAAACCGATATATTTATGCCCTCTTTTTCTAAATAATAAAGTTATCCATAATAATAAATAAGCAATATTAATAAAATGTATAAAATGAGTATTATTTACAACCGAAGTTAATATTTATAATTTCTACATGTTAATTTACATAAATATACTTCTATTTTTAACAGATACATTTTACAGATACATTTACTCTTCAGATACATTTACTCTACAAAAAGCGAGTAAAATAGTGTGTGTCTCTGCTGTGTTTTTCTAAAGCTTTAATTTTATTTGTATTACAAAAAAGTTATGTTAATTCAAATAATAAAATATAATATGCTTTAAATATATTTATTTAAATTAGATTAAATATAAAATATTATATTAAATATAATTTAACACTTTAACACATTTTAAGACCGCTTCTTGTCATGAAATCTATAAACACAGCTAAAAATTTGGTCTTATCTATCCTTTTTTATCAATCAAAGTTAATTATATATAAAAATGTAGCATAAATGTAATACATTTTCTAATATAAAAACAACTTTTTTAAGTAATACCATTTTAAATGTAAAAACAGTATATTATTAATTGTATTTAATTTATTTTTTGTTTGAAAATAACCTCTTCTCTCAGATTTTCACTAAAAATTAACCAAAATGTAATTTTTTTAAAACCAATAATCATATTTATCTTATACCTCTATATAAAACCCCATCAATCTTCTGACTTTTTCCCACAAAATATCACCGTTGACCAAGGACCGCATAGCACACGATCAGAGGTAGTGTCCAGAGCAATTCCATCCAGCGGCTGGAATACATCCAAGTAAGACAGGTTCTTATGCTGAAGGTGGAGCTGCTTGCCCAACTGGCTGTACCTGCACCAGCCAGTGGCCCATAGCCCCCCGCACCGACGGATCAACAGAGTGTGACGAGAACCGGCAAACACCCCCAACGGAGCACAGTCATCGTCGGAATGATCGGACTTTGTGGAGCAACCACACTCGGGCAGGTCGTGCAGCTGGGGCAGCGGATAGACAGTGGGCTCTTTGAGCAAGCCACCCGGCTTCATCACACGCACTCCCAGCTGGCCGCTGCAGTTGAGGCCCCAGGTGTAGAGGTCCCCGAAGGCGGATATGGCCGCACTGTGCCAACCGCCGGCAGCAATGCGAGTTATCTGAAAGACACGTTCCCTTCTGATTATGACAGGCAGAAGATAAGTGGAAACACTGCAAATATTTACCTTGATCCCCGCCAGTGCCTCCACCAAGAGTGGCGCCTCCTCCACTTTCAAAACGGCCTGACCCAGCTGTCCGCGGCTGTTAATTTTGGCATGAATATGTAAAATAATATATAGAAAAAGAGTATTAAAGAGTATGATAAATCAGTGGCATATGATAGTTGCCAGCTTTGAATACTCTTACTCGACCAAAGTGACTCATGATTAAATTCAAAACTATTTTATAAATAAATAAAAGGTTCCCTCGTTTCCAGATGTTTGGTTCCCACTATTTTCTTGGCAAACTTCCGGCAGAAATTAGCGAACCCTTGGCAAAAAGTGTTCTAGCAACAAGCGGGTAGATTCATTTTGGATACTCACAGTCCATTTCCCCAGGTGAACACGTCACCGTTGCCATTGAGGAGCACGGCATGCTCGTGGCCACATTCCAGCTGCTTCACCCGAAACTGTCGTCCGGGAAACTGATGCAGGCAACTGGGAATACTGTACACGGCATTTTCCGAGCTAACAGCTACGTTTATATGCGATCCGCAGGCAATGTGCTCAATAGATAACTCAGGCACCTTGGGTATCCCAAAGATAGAGCGCTTTGTGCCGGAATTGGATCGGGGCGGAGCCTCCAGTCTGACTGGCAATAGTTCCGCCTTCAAGTTAGGCTTTACTCTGTACAGTTGACCGTTGTGCAGTAATACCAGGCAATGGGTATCGCCGGCGGCCAGGGCCTTTATATCACCCGGTGCTTCGAGGGTCACGCACTCATTGGGACACTCGGCCAACAGGCCACGAAGCCATAACTTCCGGCCAAAAGCGAGGGCCGAATACCGCCAAGCAATCGAAATCGTGCACTGGTTCTTATCCGAGAAAGGGGCCTTTAATTCTGGAACGAAATCAGGACTGATTAGTAAGCATACAGTGGAGCTGCTATAAAATGAATATGGAAATTATAGTAAGCAATGAAATTAAATTAAATTGAAACTGAAATTTAAAATTTGTAAAAAAGATATATATAAAAACTGTTTCCCCAAGCTAATACACCTTTAAAGATCAAAATAAAAAAGTTTTAACTCCTTAAGTCGCTTTAAAAACTTATAAATAACAATTTTAGAATTTCTAGAAATTTTCCAAATATATAGGATCTCTGGATCTCTTCTTTTTAGCCAATCTCTACTGTACAAATTAAGTATACGATCGTCGGCTTTTGTTGCCGCCAGATCGTTACACAGTTACAAACCGCTAAAGCCGGCGTTGCAGTCGGCGGCATTGCCGTTAACAAATTCATGCTGGCCAAAAGCGTTGAAGCCCGTAAATAGAAGCCGCCGCATCTTCCTCTTTCTCCTGGCCAGCGGTTGCGCAGCGACGACGACGACGACGACGCTGTGGTTGTTGCCGGAATTTGTTGGAGCGTTGAGAGAATTTTTGTTTTTAGTTGTTGGGCAGCGCTGAACCTGGGCTGTTGTGCTTGGTGGTTGTTACACTTTTTGAATTTCCAATTCCCCGGGGAAGTTCACCGAAAGACACCGTGAGCCGGGTCACCAGCAGGCAGCAGCGGATCAGCTGTTCTCAGGAATATATAAAAGGAGATATAGTATCTTCTACCGAGCAACCCAGCTGAGAGGATGGTAGGTTATCTGCTGGTGTGCCGTAACAGCTAATTAAGTGTCGTCGTCTTGTTGTTCCGTAATTGTTCAATTTGTTTTCGTTTCGCGATCGTTGTCATGGTGACGGGGAGCACTACAAAAAATAATACAATTTGTCCAACACTCATACGTTATGTTGGCTGCGCTTCATGAAGAGCTTTTTTCAGCACTAAAAACAAGATTTGGCGCCAAAATTTCATATATTCAAAAAAGGGGATGAATTTGAAGGAGAAATTCTGATTTAATAAGGGTTATTTTTTAATGCTTATAAGTTGGTTTTACTTTAAAGTAAATGTTATAATTTTATAAAATTTATTTATTTATATATATTTTTTTTTAATTATATACACTAAAAGGAAAACACTTAAATGGATTTACTATTACAAATACTTTTACTATCGTAAAGTACTTTCTAACATCTAAAAACTACATTTTGTTGAACATTTTAAGGAAATTCATATTAATTATACTTTAATAAACATTAACACACACTTACAAATTAAATTTTTGATTTAAACCCTTAAACAAGCAAAAAGGAAATGTAGTCTCATCAAAACTAAGCTTGTTTACATTTCTAATTGGCACTACAACCTTATCTTACCCACATATACATATACTACAAATGAGAGGCAAAAATTGATTGAGGAAATGCATACACAAAGAGAAAATAGACTCAGTTTGAGAATTTGTGTACCTTTTTTAAAAAACTTTACAAGTCTTTACAGTATTTTTTACCACCTTTGAATAAAGTTGTTGGATTGGTTGTTTTTTGCCCCAATTCGAATTTCTTAATCATTTTTCACAATGTTTAATTCTCTCTGTGTAATTACAATATTTTCCTATTATTTTGATAAGGTATATTTTGCATTCTGTCGTCCAGAGAACATTTACTTCTATGTCAGCGAATTGTTTCACCTGATTTTATTATTTATAAACTTAAGATTTATAGTGCTATTAAGTAATTTTCAGATTTTTCAGGTTGGACTGTTTCTTCTATTAATGCAATTATAACTGGTAATCTGATCTTTTCTTCTGGACCTTCTCTAACTTCTTCTAAAAGAAAACTATAATATAATCCCATAGATTTTGCCTACCTAAACATATAAATATTTCTATATTTTACCAATAAAATAACTATTAAAATCAAAAACATTTTAGGGTCTGCTTTCGCTGTTGCGCAAACTGAGACCCAATCCGGAGAAGGAGGCCCGCATCCTGCTCCTGGGACTCGATAATGCTGGCAAGACCACAATACTGAAGCAATTGGCATCGGAGGATATAACCACGGTTCGTATGATAGCCGCAAACTGCTTACGTTTGCCCCATAAAATCCGGAGTGAACCCCTGCAGGTAACACCCACGGCCGGATTTAACATCAAGTCCGTGGCAGCCGATGGCTTCAAGCTGAATGTATGGGATATTGGGGGTCAGTGGAAGATCCGTCCATATTGGAAGAACTACTTTGCCAATACGGATGTGCTGGTGAGATGTTATAGTAATTATTTATTATAAAATATTTATTAAAACCTTCATTTTGGGGCAGATCTATGTAATTGACTGTACGGATCGGGCTCGACTTGCGGAGGCGGGCAGCGAGCTGTTTGAAATGCTGATGGACAACCGGCTGAAGCAGGTTCCTGTTTTGATTTTTGCCAATAAACAGGACATGCCCGATGCCATGAGTGCCTCCGAGGTGGCCGAGAGAATGAGCTTGGTCCAATTGCAGGGACGAACCTGGGAGATCAAGGCCTGCACAGCCGTAGATGGCACTGGGCTCAAGGAGGGCATGGATTGGGTTTGCAAGAACATGAAGAAGTAATCCGGTTTTAAATGTTAAGTTGTGTAATGCTAACTCTAAGATTCAAATCATAAATATATGTACGTTAAATAAGAAATTTCTTTTATAATTTATCTGTTAAGATTTTATGATTTTCAAAAGCAGTTTTACTAGTTTACAAAGAGCAGAATTATGACTTTTAAAATAATAAATATAACTTGTATAACATCCAAAAACCAAGTAGCTAGTGATTTTAAATCAATCATTTCTCTTCAAACTTAATTCCTTCATACACAAGTGTGCTTAGAAATAATATACCCATGTGCTTTCACGGACCCTTGTCCCTTATTCAAAGAATCCTGCCCACGGGCTCTCAGAATAATGGTCTGCTGATCTTGGGCCTGGACAATGCTGGCAAGTCCACCCTAACAGAACGCCTCTCGGAGATCTTTAATGGCAAAGTAAGTTAAGGAAATATTTAAAACTTCTTTTTAAACCCAACTAAATCCTTCAGGCCAAGGCAGCCACTGTCCAGGCCAGTGAGTGGAGCCTAAGGATCAACAATTCCAAGCTAAAATTGTGGGATATTAATGGGGACCTGAAGAACAGGATGGTTTGGCCTAATTATTACCAAAAGGCCAGGATTTTGGTGAGTGAAATCCCTCAAAGATATTAGATCCCTCTCTAAAATATATATTTATAGATTTTTGTAGTAGACAGCAAGGATGCAGTGCGTCTCAGCGAGGCTCGTTGTGTTCTCTGCGATGTCCTTTTGCATGAGGAACTAAACAAGGCTGCACTTTTGATAGTATCCAATAAAAAGGACACTCAGGGATCTCTGCCCGCATCCACAATTGTGGATTTAATGGGTCTGAATCATTTGCAGGGCAGAGAGTGGGATATTAAGGAATGTTCCCTGCAGACTGACAAAGGAGTCCAGGTTTGAGAGGAGGCTTTAAGGCTTAGTTAACTAATTTATTAATTAACTAATTAATTTATTATATTATTAGGACATTGTGGACTGGATTTTTAGCAAGACCACGAAGGCCAAGAAGTGATTGATTAGTCTTTGCATTTTTAGATATTGTACAAAAAAACGTTCTATATATTAAATGTCTGCTAAAAATTGGTAGTGCATAAAAAAGGAAAAGAATATTGTTTATTATATTTGTGAGCTAATTTTGTTATAATTTTTTAGTAAATAAAAGGTAAGGCAACAATTATTGTAATTTAATTTATTACTTTGTTTAAAAGCTTTTGCAAAGTAAAGCAACATCTTTGCATTTGTGTTGATAGTAAAAATCTGCAGATATTTGGCAGGCACTTAAACAAATTTATATAAAAAATAGTATCACATTTTTACAAGTCAGTAGACTGCTGATTTCTCCTCTGGTGGTTAATGAAGGACATGACAAGACCAATCGAACGGCCCACGCAATGCCGGTCCATCTTGCCCGCCGAGATGCACTGCCTCAGCTGGGTCACCACGTGATCTCTGATGTGGTTCCTAGTCTCCGCGCTGTCGATCTTTGGCAATTGCTTCTCCACCTTGTGTAGAAGGGGATATGCCTCCCGATAGTCGGCCACATCGCAGGGCCACACCGAAGAGTGCAGATGGGGTTTGGAAAGATGGGTTTCGCGCGACTCCTGGTAGTCGTTCTCTTGGTAATCCTCCTTCGACCCACTCAGTGTCCTGGCCTGAACCAAAGCCAGGGCCGAGATGAGCAGAATAAACAGAAGGGAACGCATTGTAGAGGCAGTCGTTGTTATAGGTAAACTAGGTAAGTAGGCGTCCCTCCTTTGGCTTTTATAGGGCGAGGCTTATCTCTAAGGCAACTTTGTTGCATATAAGGAGGCTCCATTGATGGAAACGTCACAGATAAGGTAATTCCTAGTCAGCAAAGGTGAATGAATTGCAAGGTTTGCAGTCTGTCTAAGTCGCAGAACGCAAAATAAATACATTTTTACAGTAAACATTGCTTTTAAACCAAACTAACCTTTTGAGTTTTGCTTTATTAGAAATAAAAATAGTCTTTAAAAAAAGTTCAAAAATATATAAAATCGCTCTTATTAATTTTCCATAATCATAAACAACTTTTAGGTAAAAAAAAAACAAGAGACCAAAGCAAAGAAAAATAACAGGATTAAATAAAATTAAAATATACTTCCTTGGAGCCGAGTCTTAACCCTTGGAGCCTGTGCAATTGTCTGGCTTTCTCTGCTCAGCGCGCAGTCGCTCCGCCTCCATTTTGGCAAACTTACTGCCCAGGTAGAGCTGCTCCTTGTAGCGATTCTTTCGTCTCTCATCCATGCTGTACCGCCGCAACATGTCCCGACGATCGACTATTGACATGGAGATGTCCTGGCAGTCCCGCGATGGCTGGCAGAAAGTCCAGGAACCAAAAATGGTATCCAGGCAACCGCAGGTGCGACAATAGCCCACAAAATGTCCAATCAGATTTGAGTTGTTCTTGCGAAAGGATAGGGAAATGGGTCCGCCGAGGATCATTTGAGCATTTCCCGAGAAATGCCAGTCGGTGAGATTGTCAAGAAAATCGTGAGGTCTTGGTGGTACTGTTTCGTGCACACTCACATTCAGAGGGATACCCGAACTTCTTGGGGACTCCGCCTCGGCCATTTGCTTTAACTTTTGGGGGTTTATCTTGGCGCACTGACGCCGAAGGATATGATGATCATCGGCGTACTTGGCACGTCCGGATTTGGGTGGAGCACAGGGTGGACCTTTCTCCTGCGTGGCTACAGTTGGGGATTTGATATTGATGCGAATGCCAAGGACTAGGGACTCCCAGGATCCATTGAGGTTGCAGGGGGCACCTGGAAAAATGAAAGATTTGAAGGGTTTATAAAGGTTTTTTTAAAAAGGAAAGGTAATTCTTCAAGTTCTTGTATGCCATTTAATTTTCAAACATTTTTGATATTGTTTATAAAAACATTTTAAATAAACATCAAATCAATATAAAAACTTTAGCTTATAGATGTTTATGTGCCAGACTTAAGGTCTTACCATCTTACCATCAGCGGGATCGACAAAGCAGCAGGTCTGATTCGCCTCCTCCTCTGCCGACTTGTTGCATTTGGTGGCCTGAATTTTTTCCAAACGCTGCAGGATCTTGTCTAGAACACAATCTTGTTGTTGCTGCCGCTGCTGCTGCTGTTGCTGTAGCTCTTGCTGTTGCTGCTGTTGCTGTTGCTGCTGCTGCTGATGCTGGACATTCTGCGGTTGACATGGATCGCTGCACCTATTTTCAGGTGCCTTTTGAACAGGGCCACATCCAAGCTGGCTTGGATGCTGCTGCTGCTGTTGCTGATGCTGGACATTCTGCGGCTGACATGGATCGCTGCACCTATTTTCGGGTGCCTTCTGAACAGGGCCACATCCAAGCTGGCTTGGATGCTGCTGCTGCTGATGCTGATGCTGTTGCTGTTGCTGTTGCTGTTGCTGCTGTTGCTGCTGTTGCTGCTGCTGTTGCTGATGCTGAACATCCTGCGGTTGACATGGATCGCTGCACCTATTTTCGGGTGCCTTTTGAACAGGGCCACATCCAAGCTGGCTTGCTTTGGAAAGAATATCTCATGAGTGAAAATATATACAAAATTCCTCAATCTTACCTATTTGCATCGAGGGTACATTGAATCGAGAATGAGCACCAGGAGCCGCTTGACTCGCTCCCACAATCCTTTGAGCCATCTCAATGGGCGAGATATTCATTTGACTTGCCATATTACCCAGGACATTTGCGGGCACTTGTGGAGCATGATTGACAAGGACCTCGGGAAAGGGCACTGCCCCTGAGTTATTCATGCGAATATTCCTTTTTGTGGTCTTTGAGTTAGGTAAACTATTCCTTTTCAGGGGCCTCCGATAATAAGATCTGTCCTTGTCCTTGACCTCTCTCCACCAGTCCTGCTTGTACTTTAAGGCCTGGTTAAGACTCTCGACTTGCTTTTCATATTCGTCTACTAAATTGAAGAATGAGGCATTCTTAATGGCCTTCACTCCATTGATAATATGGCTGGAATCTAAACCCATATACAAGTCCTTCCAGGGGTTAATAGATAGCGTTGGGTGGTCAGTTTTTGGTTCAGGTTTGTTATAATTTATAGTGTCTTCCTTGGGCAAGTCTGTGTTCAAATCCAAGTCCATATACAAGTCCTTCCAGGGGTTAGTAAATGACCCTTTGGACTCAGTTTTATAGTCTGGCTTCTTAAGATTGAAAGTCTCTTGTTTGGGAAGGTCTTTGTCAATAAATGTTTCCTTATTTTCCTTGTGGGATGACTTCTTGGAAGCCTCGCTAGAACCCTGCTTAATCAAGGGTATATCATTGTGTACCAGCTGACGGCTCTTGGACATGGGTAAATAATAGGGCTTCGAGCCGCCATTTCCGTTACTCTCTTTACTCATTTTGATAAAGACATCCATGGCCTTCAAAAAGTTCTTACCATGACATACATCCGTCAGATCACTCCTTTTCTGTGGGTTCATGCTTGCTTTTCCCTTATCCAATTGCCGAGAATGCTTGCGATCACTAAATATTTTACAGAAACCCTTCTGGTACTCATCGTAAAGTTTGCCGGGTTTGATCTGAGATCTCCTTGACTTAATATCAGTCAAGATCTTGTTGAATGCTTTGGTTGCTTTGCTAGGCTTCACAGACAGACCCGAGAGATCATTTTTGATTATACCCTTCAGAGAGGCTCTGCTGTCTGAGACCAGTTGGGCATCTTGATTCATTTGCCTTGGCAGATTGGGCTCCATGTCCTGGCTGATCTTTTTGGCCAAGTCTTTCACCAAATTGCCTTGCTGAAAGTGTTCAATAACATTTAGTAACTCGGTTAGGGCATTTAGCCTTAAACCTGAAAAGGTAAATGTTTGGCTAATGGTCTTATTTTCGGGTATATTAAGTGGAAATGGCTGTTGCCAGGCTTTCAGGTAGTCGTTGTAAATGCGATTTAGTTCACAAAGTCGCTGGGCTCTGGCATCCATTGAGGAGGACTTAGAGCTTACCGCATTACCATTTTCTTCGGGGTTTTTTCCGTACTTCTTTAAGGCAAACTTGCCTCCCTCCGGGGAGTTATTTTCCCAAACTTTTTCTCTAAACTTCTTTAAATCAATCTTGCTTCTTTCCGGGGTGGTCTTGCTCTCAGATTTGTCTCTAGCCTCCTGCATTTGTATCATTCTAATTTCATCAAAGAGTTTCCACTCGGAGCTCTCTTTAACCTTTGGGCACCTTTCCTTTTTTTTTAATGGCCTACAAACCATGCATTGTGACCTTGCCTCGCTTCGCTCATCGGTGGCATCGTATTTGATATTCGGTGTGCCTACAGATCCTTTTTCTTTTTCTTCCGATTTCATTAGTAATGGATTTGATACCACCTTGGCCCTTCTCATGTCTTCGCCGTCCCCAAACTTTATGAGATCAAAATAGGCGTCACAAAGCCGGTGGGCATGCAACTCATCCTTCGCATCTGGCATTCTTGACCACGTCGAAGACTCTTTGTGTGTTAACGCTTCTTGATTTTTATCCTGTACCATTTGCGGTTGAAAGGATCCAGTTAGGAGTGGAAGGAATAAAAACAGAAAGCCGGAAATCATAAGCAGATAATATCTAGACATCTCCTCATATTGTTTCTTCCAGCTAATGGTATTTCATTCGAATGGATTCCAAATATTTAATTTTATTTTGTTTTATGATTTGTGATCTAATATATTGACATTATACGAAAAAATATTAAGATCGCATTTTGGGTTTTAGTTTCAGGTTTTTAACGAGAATTTTGGTAAGGATTTTAAAAAGGTTTTCGGGGTGATTTTAAAAGAGCGGTTAAAGGAGGTTTGAAATAGGTCTTCAAAAGGTTTTTAAAGAGTTTTTAAATAGGTTTTATAGAAGATTGTTAACGCGGTTTTAAAGAGGACCTTTCAAAAGAGGATTTAAATGGCGTGTTGCAAAACATGTCCTTAACAACATTAGCACCTATTTTTATGTTGTGCAAAATTTTTCGTTATTTATTTTACTAATTAAGTCAAATATATTTAAAAAAGAAAATGATTAATCAAAATAAATACATAAATATTTTTTCATTTTTATTGAATTTAGTACGACACAAATTTTGAATTATATTATGATGGTATAAATTCAAAATACCCTATTATTTGGTCTTGCTATCCCCAGTAATGGGCTCCAGGGAGTTGTCTCCCAAATACATCTCATCGCGCTTCATCTCGCTAGTGACCTTTTCAATTTTCTCGTTACTATCTTCTTGTTCCATCAAATCTGCTCCTTGTTCCTGAACCGCTTCACTGACCTGCATGTAGGGATGGTAGATATTCACATGCGGCTTGTATGACTCCTTGATGACCTGCGGTGAGGTCCACCGCAGCAGGGAATATGGACTTCCCAACTTATCGCTGGTGCCGGTCATATGACCCGCTCCAAATGGCTGCTGTCCCACCATAGAACCAGTGGATTTATCGTTGACAATTAGGTTTCCCACATTGAAACGGAAGACCTCGTAGGCCCGCGTTATAAAGTCCTGATCTTTGGCAAAAACTGATCCAGTCAGTCCATGATTGATCTCCGCTACCTTGGCCATGGTCTCCACGATCTTGTTATCGGGATACACGTAGACACCCAAAATGGGGGCCAACAGCTCCTCTCTACAGATAATGTTGTCCAGATCATTGACCAGCACTACCGTGGGATCCACAAAGTAACCCTGCTTCTTGTCACATGTCCCTCCGGCAAGGAACTTACAGCTTGGGCTCTGGGCGATGTATCTCAGCCACATGTAGATGCGGTCATAGGCCTTGCGATTTATCACCGCCGAACAGAAGCAGTCACAGTAGGTGGCATGACCGACGCACAAGGAGGAGGTGGTATTGAGCAGTGGCTCCATTATATCATCCTTCCACAGCGATTCCGGGACATACAACATCGAGCAGGAAGAGCACTTCTGGCCGGCATACTCAAAGGCCGATCTTATTGTACAGGCAACCACTGTGTCGGGATCCGCCGAAGGATGTACAAAGTGGAAATTCTTGCCTCCACCTTCGCCAACTAATCTGGGATAGTTCTGGTAAAAGTTCAGATTCGAGGCCACCAGTTGCCACAGAACTTTTAGCACCGTTGAAGTGCCCGTGAAGTTGATCCCCGCCAGTTGTGAGTGCTGTGTCACCACATCAGCAAAGGTCGAGTCATCGGCTGGCACAAAGTTCACAACTCCATCGGGCAGACCAGCTTCCCGCATTGCCTCGAAAACGAAATAGTTGGACAGAATGGCCGAATCGGAGGGCTTCCACACCACCGTATTGCCCATCAGAGCGGGTGCAAAAGCCAGGTTAGCGGCTAAACCCGTGAAGTTAAAAGGACTGATGGCAGCCACAAATCCTAAGAAATTTATAAATAAATAAATTAATTAATTTTGAATTTTTCTATAATTTAACTTAATTAAAACCCCACCTGTAAGTCCTCTTAGCCGCATAAAATTCCAGCAGGCTTCCGATGAATCATTGATCAGTTCGTAGTTGGCCAGCTCTCGCAGAAGGATTGGATTGATCCGCATCAAGTCCACCAACTCGGCCACATCCTCCTCCGCCTGACGTAGGGTCTTGCCCTGGCCCAGCATTGTGGCTGCTATGATGTCGGTGCGATACCTGCCGGCTATCAGCGTCGCTGCCTTTTCCCAGATTTGAATCCTATCGCTTAGCCTGGTCTTGTCCCATTTCGCCTGCGCCTCTAGACTCTCGTCGATGGCCAAATTGATGAGGACGTTGTGGGCGTGGCCATAGCGAGCAATGGGCTGCTTGAAGTTGTAGGGCAGGACCTGCTGGAGCTCTTGGTTGGCGGGGAACTCTTGGCCTTTAATCACAATGGGCACGTGCTCTACTCGATTAAGGACACCCAGCAGGGCGTACTCAAGGTCACTGCGCTCATCGGACCCAAGCTCGTAGGTAAGCAACTGCTCGTTGGCCACCGAGGACTCTTTGAAGCCTCCGTCCTCCGTCAGCGGGGTGCTTCCGCTCTTTTTTCGAAGGAGTCTAGGGAAAGGGGAAATTTTAATATGGGATTTGAGTTAATAATAAAATATATAATAAATAAAAAGGAATTTTGTATTAGCTCTTATAATATTTTCATTTAAGTTGTATTTTATTGTATTAGATTAGTTTGAATTTCGCGCGTATTTATAGTAAGAAAAATATTATCGAAAGCTTCTGAGGTACCTTTTAAGAACAACGATATTTTAAGCTTTTTTCAACATCGGACAATACTCATCTCCTATCAGCTGTAAAATCGAAAGAGCTTTTAAATAGTAAACAAACTTGTACCAGCTGCAATTGTTATTATTTTGTGATGCAATAAGGTAGATTTTTGTTTATAAAATGCAACTCACCCGCCTATTACTGAAGCCTCGAGCCTCGGAAGTCTTGACCGCATATTTAAAGCAATGCCATGAGCCACCTTGGACATCATATTTCGTCAAGGTATGTACAGTCTCTCCAATGGATTAAGGCAATTGAGCTTAAATTGAATCTTTTTATGGCCCAAAAAAAACAGTTGCGGGATGTGACCAACGATCAGCGGGGAATGTCGCACTTCAACTGGACCCTGGACAGTGGAACCAATTACCACATTCTACGCACTGCCTGTTATCCCTATATGAAGTACCACTGTAGCAAAAGGGAGGTGCAGGATCTCTGGCTAGAGGACAAATTCTTTCGCTTCCTAAAGGTTATCAATTTGGGTAAGAAATTATAAATTAAGGATCAAATTTCTTATAAACTATTTTATTATATTCAAGAGTCTTAAACAGAGTTTCTTATTTAGAAATCACTCTTGTTTTAGGCTTACCTATGCTCTTCTACGGACTGGCTGCCATTCGCCTAATCAGTCATACAGAGATTGTTCATGTCAGCGAGACGGTAAAGGTTCCTATATATTTCCTTTATGCCGAGGATAAGGGAGCTAGTTTTTGATTTTGATTTGAGGAAGCCAAAAATGAAATGAAAGCAACAGCCTCCTTATTTATGTATGTACATTTTTATTAAAGTTTAACAATTATTGCGGGCAACAACTTAACATATTCCAGGGTGTTTTCAATTTTATTTTTCTGGAGATTTCAATAACAATTGCCTAACATAAATAATAAGCCAAGAGATAAAGCCTCTAAGAGTTTATCTTCTGGACAACAAAACGTATTAAATAAGTGGATAAATCAGCTATCCACTGGTGTCTTTTTAGGGTTTTGAACCGTTCTTAAAAGCAAAATAAAACCTAACAAGTGCTTTGAATTAACCAGAGATTAAGATACACCCCAGATAAACGTACTTTCAACAATCACCAAGGCTTAACAATGGAAGAAATTTCAATTTTTACAGTCAGTCGGATGATTCTCACAGGTCTCATCATAATTATCCAGCAGCAAAGCCTTCACAGAGGCCTCGAACTGGGTAAGCGAGCAAGGTGCATCGCAATTGGGAATGGTCAGCTCCTTTGGGAATTTGTCCTCACTGTTGTAGTAATAAACCAGCTGAAAAAATACATAAAAAAAACTATTAGATACACCAAAGATCCTATTAAATCCTTAACCAACCTTCACTTCAAAGTCACCATCGGCAAAGGACTTGCTGTGATGCAGCTCAAAGGCCAAGGCCGAGGCATATTCTGGTAGATTTGTGGTCTGATCAAGAATCCCCAAAGAGTTCATGACATTAACCAAGGTAATATCGTGTCCGGAATACAGGAATATCTTGCGATCGGGATTCATGTTTCTCTTTCGCTTATTTTGCATTTTAAACAATATTTCGGTTAGGAAGGCGCCACCCTTGATCCTCTTCATCAGATTGGTCTCGGTGAAAAGCGTATAACTACGCTCGGCCAAGGGTTTAATCTCCTCCGGATATATATTCTCCGTCCAGTCGGGTAGAACCAGGCCAGCCTCCTCTTCGGTTTTCAGAGTGCCATATAGTAGCTCCACATCCAAGACATTGGAAATGTTCTGAAATAAGAAGGGATATTGTCAGCTTAATCCTTAAAAGTGGTAGCTTGAAAACCTCTCCCACCTTGCCTGTATTTTTGGTCAGCAATTTATACAATTCCAGGTTCTCCTCGTTTAGTTTCTGTAGTTCCGCCGGCGGTGCCTTGTAGAGCTTCTGTAAGATGTGGTCGTACTTCAAACAGGGTTTCTTTTGGGCCAGCAACTGTAAATAATCATATGATAATGACTTGCACTCGTTTTATGGATATATTGCACTCACAATATCATCATTTCGAGCCAGCGTATTCACGGCCACCGGCTGCCAGGGTATGGGCAACACATTATTGTTCTCCAGCGGCGGCATCATGCCGGCCAAGACGCTCTGGGCGCTCATCTAAAAGATAACAACCAACCGGCCAACTGATTAGGGCTCCCCCATCGCGGGCAGATAGCTACAGCTATGGAATCTAGTATATATGTTTATATAGTTATCGGAACGATTGACGCACCACACAGCGCTCAGCAGCTGAGCTGAGCACATGGACCTGCTGTTGGGTGTAGAGGCTGTTCGAGGGCAGGAGACGGTAGTAGCGCATGCGCAGATTCTTTCCCAAGTTATAAGCTTGCAAAGTGCCCTTCTGTTGAAGAAAGTAAGGGTTTAAATTTAAAAATATATTATAGAAAATTTACAAAATAAAACAAATTTAAACTCATTTAAACCAATTTATGTGCTAGGAATGGGTAAAACAAAAAAGACGTTTTCAATCTTTACGGTTTGTGTTGGCCAAAATCTGTCTTTCCTAATCAAAAATCTGACCATTTCCTCTCTAAATTCCACTATTTACTATCTATATTTTCTATGAATACTCCCTACTCTCTACAAAACAAATACCTACCGGAGTGAGTGCTCCCAAGCCTCCCTGCCAGTCGTGCGCTGCATGCGGATCCAGCGGATACAAGCCACTGGGATTCTTGGCCCCATGTCGAAACAGCTGTTGAATTGATAAACACAAAATATGTTTAGCTATCTATAGCTCACTCTCAGTTATATATGCTGCTCCGCTTACTTACTATGGATATCATGCGTAGATTCCGCAAGCCCTGCTCGTCGTTGCTGTCGCCGAACACAAAGTATGCCATCATAACGAAACAGAGGGCGCTGCCCAAGGCGATCACCGATATTTTGGTGCCGCGTCGCGATTTGCAGTCCATTATGACGGGTCGGGGAGACTCTTCTGCTCCTGCTGCAGTTCGATCGAGAAAATATACTTAAGATTTGCAGCCTAAAAATAGTTTTTTGTTTATTTTATAGCGAGTGTTTTTCGCTGACCCGCTCTATCTATAAAAATAGTGAATAATAAAAACAAGTCACGTCCGATGGCAACAAAAGCCGTATAACAACTGAGAAACCGAGCAGCAGCAGCTGAGCAACTGAGCAACGGAGCGGCTGAGCGATATTAGGCAGAGCTAGAAAGAGAGGGTGCTACCTAATCTAAAAGAGAGAGGTAAAGGGTATATGAGAGTGTCAGAGAGCTGGCATTTCAATGAGCACCTGAGGTAGAGAGAGAGAGACCACTGCCAACATGTGCGAATAATTAAATTAGCTGCTCAATGTTCCCGTGTAAATTAGGTCTCGACTAGGTGCTACTGTGTACTATGTATATGGAGAGTGCATTCAATTTGCACTTACGTGAGGATTATTTCGATACATTACCCTTTGTCTAATGGTATTATTCATTGTTTAGGTTGCTTGTTTTTTCAACTTTTAGCTAACTACTTAACAATTCATAAAAAAAAACTAAATCGATGTATATTTTAAAGTCAAATTAACTTTTTAACAACTTAAAACTATTCAAAACAACACAAGACTCTCTAAAAAATCTATATATATTTGGATTACTTTCAAATTGCAAGGACAAATCGAATTTGAACAGTTTTTACACTATATCCACTATATGTATGAATACATCTCGACATGTAGTAATAGTTAGATCGACTTTGAATGTACTTGAAGGATATCTATGTCCTGGAATTGTTTAGAACTTCCTAGGGAGCAGCCCCTGTCCCTTCCTCATCTGATAATTCGCTGCTGGGTTCCTCGACCAAATAACCCTGTTTGGCCTTGTACACCCGCTTTTGGGTCCGCTTCTTTCGCTTAGGGATCACCTTAGCCTGCATTGCCTTAGATCCGGACCCCTCGGTGATCTCCGTGATCACGGTGGAGTTGCGTATCGTCCGATCCGATTCAGACTCCGATTCCACCTCGTCCAATGAAGGAAGGGCCAGGCGAAAGCCGTTGGGTTGAACTTCAAACACATGGTTCCCCTCATGCATCTGACGGAAGTTCTGAACCGGCAGTGACTGAAGCGGATAAGAGGTCGTCTCCTGAATCTGCGGCAGGGTCGTGTAGATCTGATTTGTGGCCAAAGTGTGGCTGGTGGGCAGAGCCAGGTGGGATTCCACATCTGTCACGTAGTTGATGACGCCACCCAGCGGTGCGGCTACATAGGTGACCGAATTCTCCACCGGAACATTACACCAATTGGAAGAGTAGCTACTGGCCAAGATCGGTTCCCAGTTATAGGCACTCCGCGTGGATGCGGCACTGTGGGTCACCGGGTAATCATACACCCCGGGGGTGAAGTACCCATAGTACGAACTATGGTGACCAGCCATTATCGCCGGATCTATTACTGGTTCAATGGGTTGGGGGTGTGGCCTGTCCTGGTACTTTCTAGAGATCAAAAGCTATTGTTTTATGTTTTCCGGTAAACTTCCTGCACGGACGATCACCTTGAATAGAACAGCAGCCAAAAGAATCAGGTTTGAAATCAGATTGAATGGGAAGTTCCTCCGTGAATAATTGCTGGAATCTATAATGCCCAAATGGGTACTCTGTATCTGAGAAAAACGGAGACGGTACGAATTTGGAATTTAATTGAAGTAAAAAGTAAATTTTGAACTGTGCCTATGTAGATTCTCTTATTTATATTCAAGCACAACCCTTACATTCAACCTACTGGCGAAAAACTGACAGCTTCTGAAATGAGGCAAAAGCTTTAGGTGACTTGTTAAAAATATGGAAAATATTATAATATTGAGGATAAAAGAGAAGAGCCAATCTTTCGTTACAAATAAACATTAGGGCTATACATTATTTCGATAATTTCGAAAATATTGAAATCTATGTTATATCGAAAAATGTTATTACATTTTATCGCGACTTTCTAATATCGATTTATATATCGAATTTCACCTGAATATCGATATTATTTCGATACCTTCCTTTCTTTTAAAATTGGAATTCTTAAAAATACAATTTACCACAAAAATTTGTAAGACAATACCTTATCAAAACCTTTTTAATCCTTAAAATATTATTTAAAATTCTATATTATATATTTAACATTATAACTTAGATATCAACTTAATTAATTTAACAATGGAATATTTTTTACATCCTAAGAAAACAGTTTCTCCTTAAAAATTAAATATATAAATCCAAAAAGCAGTCTTTATCCCTAATCCTAATAAGCGTAATGCAGCATAATTCAGGAATCCTCTCAGATAGAGCCTCAATGCCCGCCAAGAACACAACGTTCCGTGTCTAGATCCTCGTCCGAATCCATTCGTTGGCAATCCCCATGACCCACCACCGAACAGCGTTTATAGAGCAAGTAACTCAGCCACACGGTAAGTGGTAGCAGTGCCAAGCCCAGGGGCATAAGGAAGAGCAGCAGGAACTCCCGGGGATCGCTGGTTGGAACTCTCTCATCGCTATTATCATAATCCGCCCAGTACTCCTTCTCCTGAATCTGCTCTAGCTCCTGCTCCGGATCAGGTAACACTTCGAGGAATGCCTCCCGTATCTTGTGACCCCGATAACTGATGGCCACGCAGGCGTAGTGACCTGCATCCTTGTGCCGCACTCCATCCAAGATCAGCTTGCTGAGATACATCTGTGGTCCCATCAGCTTCTCGGAAGCTGCGGACAGGAGCTCATAGGTCCTGCCATTATAACGGACGATATGTGTGCTGAAATTCGAGGCGCTGGCTGTTGTTGATGCCTCTCCAGGTGACTGGGAAGTGCCCAAGAAGGTGTGTCGCCTAAACCACTTGATGGTGGGATGCTCCTCGCTGTGGACACGACACTGAAACACCACCCGACTGCCCAGAAGAACGGTTTTGTTATTGGGATACGAGTCCACAAACTCGGGAGCAGCCAGAGAGGTGTCTATAATGAAGGATTTGGAAGTATTTAATATTATTTTAAAAGATTTTCATAGCCATACTCACTTTTCACATCCAACTGATAGGTGCGAACCAGCTGCACATCCACCGCCTGGGTTCTATCCCAAATATGGGGATTTATACTACACTTATAGAGACCCGAATATCGCTCAGTGACATTCCGAAGCCAGAGCTCTGGCCGACACAAACTGGGCTCACAAGGCAGGGCGGTCCACTCTTCTGCAGACTCCGACTGATGGCAATTGTTCTCGCTGCATTGCTATATAAATTTTCAATTTTATTTATAAAGAAAATAAATTATTATAAATCATCAAAGATAAATACCTTAAAATACCAATGTATCTTAATGTCAGCCAACATGCTTTCATCCACCAACCCCTTGAGATTGCACTGCAACTTGACATCGAAGCCGGCTCTTTGCTGTATAAGCTCGGTGTTTTCTAAACAAGAGAAAGAAACCAAGAACAAACAATTCAATCAAGGCAATGGCAAAAGGGAATTGTTTACTATTTTTCATGCCAATGATGATAGCCAAACTGACAGTATCTTATCAAGAATTCAAATGTTCTAACCGAAATTGCGATTAACCTTCCATTCCATTCTCAACATTTTTTTTTGACGAATGAAAACGGAAACGTGGAGTTACAAAGGGCTTTGGTTGTGAAGTGATTTACAGGTGTTTTTAAAACAAAATGTATATAAATTGTATTATTTCTATAAATTAGAAGAGCATTAAAAGGGTTTGATATGAAGAACTGAAGATAAACACAGAGAAAGATAGATCAAAACTCTGTTCTAGAACATATGATATAAACCCCCTATAAGCACCATTATTTATTATATTTTATTATTTAATAAAATTCCTAACTCACCTGTATAGTCCACAAAGAAACCGCTGACTTGCTTCAAACCGCAGATACAAATGAGAATCAATAGCCAATAGATGTGGCTAGACCGCAGATCACAAATCATTGGATCCATTTCCATTTAGCATATCCACGACATAGCCTTCCCAGTTGGTTGTGTTATCTCTATAAAGGGAACCTGTCGAATGTTTTGATTAGTTAGTTTTGGTCTCTGCAGGTATTTATTTATTTGGATTCCACTGTCTAGATGGCTGGCCGGCCGCCATTCGCTCATTTTCCCCCCAAATGATCGATTTTCATTTAATTTCTTAGCAAACATTCGTGGCTCTCCTCGATTGTATTTATTTATTTATTTATTTGGTCTACGCGATTGCATTTCCACTCGGCTCGAGCATATTTTTCACACATTTTATTGTGCGCTGAGTGTAAAAATCCCACTTTTGTTTATTTACTTGGCCATTTGAACCGAACGGGTGCTCTACATTGGCTCACAAGGCACTCACACACAGAGAGAAGTGTGTACAAACCAAATCCTTGGTATATATATATATATAAATTATCAGAAATTCGCTTCTCATTTATTAATAAATAGTGAGTGCCATTTATGCAACAATAAATCATTGCCAGACCGATAATGCCGAACGTTTATCAATTGAAGAAGGGGAACCTGTCGGGGGCACTTGCTAGATGGAGAAGTGCATAGAAGAGCTCTTAGTTGTATTTCAAAATTAATGTTCCATTTAGGAACTATGTGGTGCGAGGCAAAATAAAATATAGTTTTAAATAGACTTTGATTGGGAAGTAATATGGTCAGAAAAATGGGAATTATTGGGCCATAACTTGCTTTATAGAATGAGAATCACGTATTTATGTATCACATCACATTTTTATGTATACAAAAAACGATTCCGAGTCGATTAGCGTAGGTGTTTTTTTAGCTTTTAAAGTAATGTTTCATTTGAAAATTTATTTTGTCTCTAGAACTCTTTTTTGTTGGAAAATATTTATAAGTGTTGAATAGAACTTGATTGGAAGTAGTATAAAAAAACATGAATCCCTGGATTTACGGGTCTTTAATTTTAATTCTCTTTGCAAAACATGCTACTTTTGTTCTTCAAATATAAAAAATAATTTAATGTTTCTTTTTTAAGTAGTATGTCACGAACAAATCATTTCCCAATCACTAAAAAAATCCACTGAAAACTCATAAAACACTTTTAAAGCAAGGGACGACGTATTGTTTGCTTTCCAAGATCTGCGATGCGATCTCTAGTCTATTGTGATGGAGATTTATCTGCGTTGCCCCACTTGATTGGCATCGGACTCAATTGATTTATATGATATCATTTATTAGGTGAAAACTTTGATTGTTTAATAGACAATTTGTTTACCGATCTGGCCCGAAGTGGAATCAAAATAGGAGCACTCACTCACTCACTCACTCACTGCGGCGGCTAACAGCGGATGGACAACTGACCCGACGGCTTCATATTCGCCTTTTGCTGATATGGCGGAGTGTTTTGATTAAATAGAGAGCTCCAAGTGTCCAAGAGTCTTTAAGTCTCCGGTTACCTAATGCCACACACACACAGAATATATCAAGCTTGGCCACTGGACTCCTCGCTGACACCGCAAAATATATGTTTTCCGGCGTCTATTGCTTTAATTTGCTTTTGTTTTGCTCTCCCGGCAATTGGTGGCTACTGTGTTGTCCGTAAATATTGTAGCCACATCGATCGATCTCGCGTTTGTTTTTCGCCTTTCCGTCCGTATGCGCTCCGTTCCGTTCGGAATCGATCCGTTCCCGGGGCTGGCTATCAACAAACTACTGTAATACACGAATCGAACAAGTGTTACCCCTCGCTAGCGACGGCAGCGGTTAGCGTTTGCTGCCGGCGAAGCACTGCAAAAAATTGCCATAAAGTTGCAAAATTTTAAAAAATTTTTAAGTATACAGAAGAGATGAATTTCTGCCTATAAACATAAGGTTTATTTAATGTAAAAATATTTAAAATAGCAATATCATTTTTGAAATTATTTCTATATATTTTTATACCACTTACAATTTCTAAATTTTGTGTTTTGATATAAATTTATCATAAATTTAATCAATTTCTTTAGTTTCTACCTTTTGCATTATTTTTTCCCAGTGTCCTATGGCCGTTTGTCGCTGGCATTGCTGGGAAACAACAAAATAAATGTGTTTTATAAGCAGTTTTGCTTATCGCATATCAATATCGGTGCGTAAATATACAGTAGTCGATGGAGTGGACCGATATGGGCCCTGGCCGCACACCTATGTACATAGATCCAACGAGAAAACCCGCACCCGCAGCCAACACTCGGACTCGTGCTTTCCCACATCCACAGCCAGAGCCACATCCCCACTAACCACTTCCCTGGGAAGATTAGAGCGTTAAGCTCTATCGGGCGATCTGAAAATTTGTCTAACCCTAAACAGAAGGGTGACTCGAGGGGTTAACTGAATCGGTGTTTATATAGCTCTTGTATGGCTCATCGGTGGGGTTTTATCATATCGGCCACCGTTCGATTGCCGGGGTTTATCGCAGGCGAGGAGGCGGCCGTCCGGCTTATCAAGCGGCCAATAAATGGAGCGGCAGCAGCAGCGGGAGCCATCGGCAGCTCGCCGGCGGACGGGACGGACGTAACAGAACCGATCCGATGGCGTCTATAGATTGCTGCCAATGGCGACAACACGACAACAATGCCACCAATTTGACCAGCTCTCCTCCATGGCAGTCTACAAATCCAAATTAATGCCCAATGGGCCGGTCAACAAAAGCCCCGCGCAACCGAACCCCTTCGATATCTGGGCCCCCGATGGGCATGTGAAACTGATTATTGTGGTATTATAAATAGATCTCGAGTATGCGGTTGGGTCTTAATCGAAATTAGGTAACTTTGGCTCAAAAAAAACTTTATTTATGGTATTTACGATAAACAAACAATAGTGTTTTATACTTGACTTGATTTCTAATAAGCCCTTAAATGCACTATTGCCGGTGATGAGAAGACAGTTTAATAATGACATTAACCCTTTTTCCGGTTAAGCCCAACTAATTTTCGTTTAGGTTTGTATAACACTTAATTGTAGTTTCTGATCAATTTATTGTTAACTAAACTTATTGGGGGTTAAAGTTATCTTAAAATATCTAAAAAACATGATTATTAAATTTACTTAAAGTTTATTTACTAAACTTAAAGATTAATTCATTATTTGAGTTGGGCTCGTATAACACTTTATCATAGTTACTTACCTATATATTTTTTCATGAATTAACTAAGGCTTAGGAATAAATTGTAATTATTTTAGAGTCTAAAAACCACGATAGTTATATTTTTAATAAATTTGTTTTCCATGTTTCCAGTTCGTCTATCCGTTGATGCTTTTATAACACTTTAAGCTAGTAGCCTAAAACTTTTTGCATTATAGAAAAGTATAACTAAGGGTTAGAGAACATTAGTTATTATTATTAAAATTATTTTAATTTGGTTTACGAAGGTTAATTAATAAGTTCCTCCAGGTACAGAATACTATTATTCGGTTAGGCTCGTATAACACTTTATATCAGTTTGCTTACATTTACTAATTTAAATAAGGCTTAAAAACTTTCCAATCAGAAATTAAATAAATAAATAAACAAGTATACCTATTTTTAAAAGTCATAGATATATATTTTAAGTTTTTAAAGAAATCCACACACCTTTGCCTAATAAGTTATTATTGAACCAACTAAATTCTTAGACTTTCGGCTTTACTTTTAAGTGTTGAGAAGTTTTTCTCTGCTTTTTTCCTTAAAAATCAATGTATTTTTCCAGTCAATAAATAGTATCTAGTACCTCCAAGGCTAAAACCGTACAATCATGAGTTACCGAGGAGGCAATATTGATGATTATCTCTTGAGCTGTCAGTTGCTTCAGAGGTCCTGTAAAAGCACTGATGAGTTGATTCGAAGGAATTCCGATCTAGAAGACAGCCTCAAGCTCATGACTCCGACATTAGCCAGGAATTCGGCTGCCAGCATAGTGGAGGAGGTAACCCAGGACGTAAAACTTAAAATGGATCGGATAAAAGAGGAACTGAATGAAAGAGAGAAATTTATTGTGTCCATGAAAGAGCAGGTCAATACAAAAAACATATGTTTATTTTTTTATATATCACTTAAAAACTTTTGATAGTTACATTTAGAAGTACCAAAACCAGATCCTGATAGGCCCAACAACCGCCTACGGCAAAAGTACAAGGAAGCTCTTAGGAAGGATGAAAAACTCGAGGCCGAGGTCCAACGATCCCTAACTGAAGTCAATGTCGACATGGAGAAGCATGCAGCTCTGCTGTAAGATATTGTTATATATATATTATTTAAGATATTAATATAATTATTTGAATATCACAGCAAACAATTGCACAGCACCCAAGTAATTGAGTATCTGTTGATGCAGGACCAAATCAAGGAAAGCTTTAAAAGGGATATGGATAAACTCATGAAAAAGTTCGATGCAGAAATGACTCGATTCAGGAAAGATAACTCCGAGGTTCTGGCTCACAAGCAGGTCAAGGAGAAAAACGATTCCTCCTCAAACTCCAGCACTCACCAGCCTTAGACTCTGAAAATTTCTATATGAATTATACATATATTTTAATTTTAACAGAAGAAGCCTCTTTGAGCTAAGGATAACAGAATCATTGTACCATGATTGATTTAAACTTAAATTATCTTGTTTTAAATTAAACTGTTAAAATGTGAATTAAAAAAAATTATATTAAAATTTTCAAACCATCAAATTAACAAGGTTTTTTTAGTTTTAAATACCACCATTAATAATTTATCCTTGAAAGAAATAAAGATTTACTCAACAACTCTCTTAATAATTAATTCTTTATTTAGTTTTTTTAGAATACGTATTTATTCCCTCTCCTCACTTCTCCTTGGGCTTCAGTTCATTCAGTTCCGTGGCATGTTCCGCCAATAGATCCAGCATCACTTCAATCTTCAAGTTGCACATGTTATTCTCCTCCTCCAGGGCACGAAACTTCCTGTTCAATCTAAGCATATCATCGACATCGCCCTTCCGGGATGAATGCATCCAGATGCCGTCCGCAAAACGCAACTCCTTGTTGCCCAGCGTCAACGAAATCTGCCTAAAGTCGTCCAGATCCTCGGTGGCCACCGGATGACCAGTATTGCAACGGCCCTGACGCACTGGAATCGGTTTCGACTCAAACTTCTTGTTGAACAGCGGCATGGCAAGTGACTGAAATTAAAAATTTACCATTATTACGCTTACTTGTTTTGGTTTCTGTTCGTTGCCCAGGACAACCAACACCTGCCGGGAGGTCAGCGAACGTGGCAGGACTCGTGGCAGTATTACCTGCTTAAAGTGTGGCAAGCAACCACCACAGATTGATAGTGGACAGCAAAGGTGGTTCTGTGGCCGAGCCAGGGTTTGAATGTTCTTTGAAAAAAGTAAATAGTAATATATAAAAAATATAAAAATATATAAATTTAAAATATAATAAATAATACGGTTTTACTGGTTCAAGGAAAGACCGCTTTCGTGTGGCCAAAAGGGGACTCCAGGAGTGAAAATGTTGTTAAAATGGAAGAAGTCCAAATAAAAGAAAAATGGCCTACTGTGAGACAATCCCAATAATGCCAGAAATAAACCCAAGCAAAAACCCAACTGAAAACTTACCCCCAAAAACTGACCAGATTCCGGAAATAATCATGACACAGGAGGCCACCAACTACCATTTCCATCCCAGGTGGGCCAGCAAACTTCAAACTTCCAACAGTAAAACCCACACAAAACCCCAACTAAATCCACCTTTATTTCATTCCCAGTCGTGTACAGGAGGTGGTCCAAGGTGTGGATCGTTTGGTGCAGGCCACCAACGAGGATCTTCGCCGTTTCCGTCAGGAGCAGGCCCAATTGAGGGAGAACATCAAGGAAGTGCGTATGGAAAACTATAGCCTGAGCAGGGAATTGTCCAAATATCAGAAACTAATGGCCAGCGGAGACTACCAGGATCTTAGCAAGCGGCTCAAGCTCACCAGTGAGGCTTTGGCGACATCCAAGCAACAGGTTGAGGCCCTGCGTGAAGAGCAAAGGCACCTGCGTTCCATGCAAACCTGTTCCCAAAGAACCATAGACAACATGGAGCTGGAGCTTAAAAAATACCGAGCTCAATTGCACGAGTCAGGTGACGAGGCGGTAGGTGAACATTCTAAAGCTTAGTGTGCTCTGACTTCGTTGTAATCTTAGTACATAAAGAATTCCAAAACAAAATCCAAATTTTCCGTTACCATTATACCAATTTTCCCAAATTGTCACCCTTTTTTTTTAGACTATCCAGCAGTACGTGCGACACATTAAGATGCTAGAAGCAAAGCTAAGTGGCCAGCAGCAGGAAATACGCACCAAGGCGGAGACCATCAAGTTGCTGCATGACCACAAGCAGCGGGATGGCGAGAAGCTGCATAAATTACAGGCCCAGTTGAGAGAACAAAACCAAAATCAGGATCAAGTCTCTAGTTTGCAAAATCAACTAAAGGAATACGAGCTTAACCTGGAACAGACCCGCCAGCTGCTCGAGGAGAGCACGCGTCGCGAGAGTGTTGCCATGAGGAAGGTCCAGGAAGCCTTAGCCCTGAGCGAGGAGGCCGAGCGGGGGCGTATAGAGGCCGAAAAGCGGGCGGAGGCCAGCAAGGAGGAGGTCAACCAGCTGGCAGGCAGCATTGGCAGTGTGATGGATGAAGCGGCCAATCGCGTAGACATCGAGATAAGTCAGTTTCAAAAAAGGCTTGTCGAAAAGGACAAGACAATAGCCAGCATAAAAGAGAAGGTGAAGTCACCAGGTAGTATTTGTAAAAGGAGACTTAACAATTTAAAGGTTTTATTAGATAAAAAAGGAGCTGGCCGGTCACAAGTCGGTGGTGCATCAGCTGGAAGCGAGAAACAATCAGCTAGAGCAAAGGGTCAAGGATGTGCAAAAGCATAATGTCAAGCTAGAGGACGAAGTTGATGTGGCCTGCCGGCGAATTCACGAGCTAGAGCGATCCGTCAACGAATTCCGCGACGAGGAGGTTCAACATTCTGTAGAGTAAGAAAAAACTTTTGTAATATAAAATATAAATATAATTTATATACTTGAAAACCTTTCTGTTATGCCCAGCAAAAAGCACTACGAGAGCGAAATAGAGCGCTATCTGACGTCCTACAGGAAACTAAAGACCAAATATCGCACCTCAATGGATGACATGACGCAACGTTTCGAAGAGGTGATCTATAAAATGAGGAAACAGAACTCCGAGTTGCTAGCGGAAAACCAAATGCTCAAAAGCGGAGCTGCGGGCGACAATTTTCGGCCATAGCCCTTAATTCTGTTTTACAGTTGTACAAAGATATATTTTATGATTAGTGTTAAATACATATTTTTTTTGAGAGTAAAAAACTACGCTGTGACTGCAGTTTGGGTGCTGCGACCGGGAAACAAGCTGGGGAACCAATAGGCGGGCTCATTCTCCGCCTGCTTATCTATCCAGCAGAGACCCTCGCCCAGGACCTTGTCCAGGGATTGCTGCGTGCGGTAGTCAGACCAGCTAAGAGGGGAACAAATTCCATAAATTATTGAGAAAGGATTTACAAGAAGGTTTATAGAGAATACCTACCCCAAATCCCTTATAAGTTGACTTTGTGTGACACAACCCTGTTCGGTATTGGAGGCTGCATTCAGTATGTTGGTCTCCTCCATGCTCAGCTCACCGGGTATGGACTGGACCATGTACTTGCCCTTGCCCAGTTTGTGGACCACAAATCTATAGATTAATTAAGGATTAGCATTACTTCTCAATGAAGTTCTCCTTCATTCTCCTTACCCATTCCCAAAGATGCTTAGTTTTTTGGCCGCCATCAATATGTCCTCCTTGGTAATCTCCTGATGCACTGCGCTTTGTCCCCTAGCCGCTATTAGCCGCCTTCTCAGCTCATCCAGTTCCATGAGCCCGCCTGTCTTGTGATTCGCCGCCAGGCACACTTCCACCACCTGAACCCCCAGCTCGTAGTAAAAGTCACCCATGCCCAGGACACTCCAGAAGCCCTTGCCGGTGGCCAGAGGATCTACGCCAATGGCAGCGCACATCTCCTGGAACTGCCGGCGAAACTGTGAGTTCTTGCGTATGTCCTCCTTGTGCTTCATCGCAAATTCCTCGAGTTTAACGCGAAAAACTTCCATTTGTTTGGTCATTTGTTCGAGTTGTGATTCCTGCAGGTCGGTGCCCTTGTCCTTGTACTTTTCGGCAGCTAATTTTTGTTGCTGAATGGCGCCCAGGCCCACGCGACGACGCATTTTTGTTAATTTTGCTAAAGAATTTAACTATTACTAATTGTTTTTATTTTTATTAGAGGTGGGGAAATAGCGATTGTTAATATTATCGGTACATCGATGACTCAACCCTCGATATATTTGGGGTTGCCAGACTTGACTTAACAGAGCCGTGTTTACAGTAACTGTTGATGTTAGGCACCACTGTTAACTTTTTGAATTTCATGGAAAAATGAAATTTAAATTTAATAGTTAAGAAAAGATTTAAAAATGTTTTTATTTTGAGAATATATTTAGCCTTGCTTAAAATTATTTAACAAAGTACGTGTAGTTTACCACAAAATAATAAAAAAAGAAAAAATATGTATCACAAATATACAGCAAATATAGTTTTGATTGGGATATACATTTATAAAATAATAATAAAAGGCCATGCACACGCATAAGTATTTTTGTAATTTTAAAATAAACCCGGAAAATAATATATTTATTATTCGTTGGTACTTTTTTGTATTGTTTGTATTGACGGTGTCTTGAGTCATATGATTATGTGTTTATATATTATCATATAAATGTGTTTCCCAAATCAAAAATAACATTTGTGAGCCCCTGATAGTCAGCGTTACGTCATTAAAAGCGTTATTTTAAAGCATTATTATAAAAGGGGTTTAAAATTAAATTTCTGAACATTCATTGAATTTAGTCACTAAATTTATAAGATTTTTTTGTATGTATTTTAAGTTTTAAAGATTTATTTTAATATATTTTTTTTATTTATTTGCTTTCCAGAAATATATTTTAGCATTAATAATTTTCCATTAACCATTAACCATAGTGTTTAAACCTTTTAAATTATTATAAAAATTGTTATCTTCTCCTTAAAAAACTATTTACCAACTCCAGCTTTAATTAGAATTAATTACTCCACAATATTTCGACTTTAGCACCACAAACTATTATAAACACCATCTGTTGGCAGCCTTAATATTAATGCACCAATATAAAGTGCATTTGTCACAAGATCCGCTCAATTAATGCCTAATGGACCAACCGCCCCCATAGATCAATCAACAGCCCATCGAATTCGAGGGTTAAAAGTACACAAATAAAAAAAAAACACCGAAAACCGCCTTGCAATATGACGAAAAACCATGACAAGCGAGTTTCATCGACCTAAGCCCGCATATTTTCATAAAACGTCATCGGATCAGCTGCTAATATATAGGCCCAAGATCCATATAGTATCAGGGAAATGACACTAATGTTTATGATGCCAGCGGAAATCGAGCCCGCTGATTGAATTTCTCTCATCTGCAGGCAATCTGCTCGCTCGATCCCCGTGAATCACTCAAAATGCAGATTCAGCGATATCTTCTGTGTGCTGATTAATTATGCGAACCATGGAGCAGAGATGAGGAAATCCAAGCTCATTAATAAGCCGACGATTTGTTTTTGACTCCGTTTTCGTTGTGGTAGCACTTAGCACCACTTAACGGTAGGAGAATCGTCGATTAGCGCGAGCGACTGACCCGACCAGATCCCGAAAAGACGGAGGCCCCAGAGGCACACACTCTCGGCACCCATTACGGTACGCCCAGTAGTCAGTCGGGGCCGGGATATATGGATGGATATGATGGGTTTGCCCAACAGCAGCGCACACGTTCCAGCGATCATCAAGTGAAGGTGCACTGAGAAAAAATGGGAACTGAATGAGATATCAATGTAAATCAGTTAAAGATATAAAATTAAACAAAGCTGAAGTTCGGGAAATAATATAAAATAATTAAATAATGTTTCTTTGTAATTTAAATGCTATACAATTATAAGAGATTATTGCAGAAATGATAAATTATAAAAGAAATATTTAAAGATGTGATTTACTCATTAGATTATTAAACAAAATAAATAAAGGAAATATGGTTTGTCATAAGAAAAATACAGTTTAATATTAAATATTAAAAAATGTTACACAATCTTTATTATTCTTAAGCCTTCTTTAAATTTAAACTTAAAAATATATAATGATTATTTTACTTAATTTTCAAAGCATATATTTCCATTATTTTTACTTCTTATTATTTTATATAATTTTTAATACGTTTATTTCTTTATAAAATTCTTTTTTTTTAATAACAATATTAAAGTAATATTTTTTGTTAAGCCCTTTTTTTCTCAGTGCCCATTTATCTTCACATAAATATTCATAAATTAATACATAATACACATGGCCATATGTCCAGTAACTAGGGCAAACATCGAACTCTCTCGCATACAACTCAATGCATTGCATAATGGCTTTGTTAATTGAAAAATCTTGGAATATCTATTAATAATCCATATCGATTGTGTTGAGACATTAAAACAAAAGGCAATTTGTGGCGAATTTTGTAAGTGTGGGGTATGTAATGTGATCTATGATATATATATATAACTTATAGAGCGGGTTTTGTGGAGATCACAAGTCTTGGATTTCTGTTGATTATGAAATAGATTTTACAGAAGTCATACCGGGCGATTTCTTTCTTAATTTTATTCTTTTTTAGCCTTTTTTATTTAAATCCTTTTAAAACTAAAAAAATATTATCAAAGACCCTCTTATTGAATATAAAAAATATATATTTAGTTTACTATATATCAAAATAATTTAGAATCATATTTTCATTGATAGTAAAGGCTTCGAACTGTAACTATCTTTCAAAGATATATCTTTGTAATATTTATTTATTTATTATTTATTTACTGAAGAAAATTTAATTATAATTAACTCAATATTCTGTTTTTAAATAATAAGACTTCATCTAGTCAAGACTCTAAACCTCCCCCTTCTGTACATTTTCCTCCTGCTGTATTTTATTTCTGGATCTTATCGCCCCGCGTGCATTTCCTTTTAATTTTCCATCTGTTTGGCCTTTTGCTGGATGCGCAATTATTTAGACAGGAAGCCAGCCGTGCCAGAGATGCTATGTACGCGGAGACGGATCCAGGCACGGGCTCCGGGTATGGTATGGTAAATATTTACTTATGCTTCACCGTAGTCGCCTCACTTGCAAATGCAAACCAAACCAAATAAAACACGCGACAGCGGAGCACAACAAAAAAAAAATTAATGGAAATGCAAGGAAAACCAAACTTAAAATAGCACCAGATAAAAATAAACAAAATGCCGCTGACAGACAAAGGGCCAAGTCGCGAGCGAATGAGGGAGGCTGAATTTTGATCTCAAACACAGAGGGAAAAAATAATAGAAAATAATACAATTTAAAGTTAATTTTAAATTATTATAAATTGCAAAAAATATATGGATTAATAATGTAAAAGAAAATAAGTTAAACCCGAAAATAAATCAGTTGTAAATTCAAGACTATAATTTATCTTTCCATCTTGGAAAGTATAGTTAAACCCTTAACTTAAAAATATTTCTAATGACTAAATTAATTAAATTTAGATTTATTTCCAATATAAAATTAAATATAATTGAAAAACCTTTGTTATATAAATTTTCAAAAGAATTTAACTACTTTTTTTTGAGTTGAAAGATACTTTCTATGAGGGATGTTTGACAGTCGAGGGCAAAAATATTTGGGCAGCTGACAAACACCCAGACTCTTGACCAGGGCGGCGCGTGCATTGCATGTAATCAACCGAATTGAACACAAAATGCAATATGCCGCAAATAGTTGCAGCTTGACCAGATGCTGTCAGCTTAGCGCACCGCGAGATGCAAAAAAGATACAAAGATACATACATGCGGCAACCCAGAGATACATCAACTTCAGGCGCTCTGACAGGCGGAGCAAAACGATCTCATTTGATTTTCCATGCTCCGCAGATCGCATTACATTAATAGAGTCCAAGTCAGAGTCCGGAGTCCATTCACTTTTCCCCCCTGCCCCCCCACCCCAAAATGCATACGAAATGAAGCCACAGAAACCGGCGAACCACCAACCAACCACTGAGCGAGGTCACCACTCCCTGGCGCATAATTCATCCAAAACTCCGAGGCTGTTTAGAGGAAAAATGGAAAACTTTTGGGCTCTGAAGAAAACTCTTTTGTGTTATAATAATAAAAAATTCAAAGCGAATGGTAATAGAGAGAGGGAGAAAATCTTAGACAATGGGCAGACAGACGAACGAACGAACGAACGAACGGCGAGAGGGCAATAAAAACTGGATAAAACTGGTGGGAAATTAAGGAAAAATCTTTGATAGTGTTTTGGGTTAGAAATATAAAACCAGTTGGAAAGTTGCTTGCCGCAGAGCGATCAATTATTATGCTGGCGGCAGCTATTGTCTGGCATTTTCCAAGTGACTGCACAGAGAAAATAGGGTTTTCTATGAATATATATTAAGTGAAGGGCAGTTTTATGAATAAATATAAGTTAAATATAAATTAATATTATTAATTACGAATATTGCTAGCTGAGAATCTTTAGCTTTAACTTTAATATCAAGAAAAGCTGCAAAAACATAGCTGTCTATCGATTTAATATCGATTTTTGGTTACAAAAATATCACAGACTTTGATTATTTAACAGTTCCCTAAAAATTTCTGAATTGTAATTGAATAATAGTTAATTTTTAAGGATTTTTTTAACGGCTTAAGTTTATCTTCATACCAAGCAAAGCTGAAAAAATAAAGCTGTCTATCGATTTAAAATCGATTTTCTTTATTATCTAATTTTTATATATATTCTGATCAATACTTACTAGATTGTATTCCATAAGAAAGTCTATTAAAAGAACTTCTAAAAAACCCTCTTAAAAATAGCTCTAAAAATCACACAAAATACCACAGAATAATTTTAGTTAAAACTAGTTCTAGCAACCGATTTCTTCCCGTGTAACTCCCCTCCCTCCTTCTCACAGAACTGACAATTGTCGCCTAGTTTTTCGCATTCCCAACCAGTTTTTCGGTGTGAAAAGTAACGGCCCGCGGAGATCGCGGACCCCGCGGAACAGACCAGACCCACGACGATGGTAAATAAGATTCCGCAAGTGGGTCAACTGGGTGCAACCGGCAACATGCATTACGTGCCACATGCAACAACGCACCGAGGCATGGCCACCACCGCTGCTGCTGCTGCCTAAGGTGACCCACA